CCTAATTAATTTCAGAGGGCCCTGGAGTCTAGCCTAATTTTAATGATAGTTTTAGCCAACTATCATTGTTTTCCCCAAAATAAGGCTCAACTGGAAAATAAGCCCTAGCATGATTTTTCAGGATGCTCATAATATAAGCCCTACCCCCAAAATAAGCCCCAGTTAAGATCATCAGCCAGACAGACACATTTAGTACCATATTTTCCCGAATATAAGCCCTAACTGGAAAATAAGCTTTAATGCATCTTTTGGAGCAAAAATTAATATAAGACCCAGTCTTATTTTTGGGGAAACACGGTATTGCATCTTAAATGCTAGAAACACTAGCTAGAAATGCTAGAATGCTAGAAATCCTGTGATTTCAATTCTGCAAAACAAAACCCAATGTGTCATTGCTTTGTAAATAGTTTTAAAAGAAGGAAATGTGCTTTTAATTGTTGTGGAAATAGGATTTTTATAGCTAATCTATGAAAATTAAGAACAGTTGATCTGTATTTTGAATTAATATTTTAATTCCATTTAGTAAGTTGTTTATTTTTACAACAGAAATGTCAGAAGAAATTTGGAATGGCTATTGATGTGAAAAATAAAATTTTTATAAAGCCAGACACACTGGCATATGATTTAGGGGTATGCCATTTGTTTCCAAAGCCATTCTGGTGTGCATTCATTACAGCACATATGTGGCAGCCACTGAGAGAAGGAAACCAGCTGGCTGTCAAAAAATTACCCTTGGCACGGTTTTTCTTGTCTTGACAAGACTACAAGCTGCCTTCACAGATGGAGTAATAATGGGAAGCCAGTTGTGGTCAGAAGATGCATTACATGTATTCTGCCTCTCATGATATAATATGGGACTTTGCTAAATATTCAATAGTTTTCTTTTTTTAGCCCTCCCCCAATAAAAATACCCCCCTCAAAAGAACTATTTGAATGTTTTGTGCCATTGTTTCTCCTGGATGCTGTTCCTTTATTCCCTTTATTTCCTTTTTTAAAATTAGTTATCATAATAGCTATGAGTGATATTAACTTGCCAATCAGATGTTGCCATTAGAGGCAACTGATAGTCAGTTAAGTGTTAGAGCGCACTGAAACGAATGATGGCAGACTAAATGAATACACAAATATATTCACCAAGAATACCAATAATTCTCAGAAAAAAAGAACAAATAGTCAGAAGGCAAAGCCCAAATTCCTTGCCCAGGTCTCATTTGGAGACTTGAAAAAAATGAGGGATATTTGGGGAAGAAATTAGTGGTCATCTCTTGGGTGCCACTTTACAAATCACAATGACACTCACGTAGAAATGGCTATCTTGAATACTGACAGGTGCTGCCAATCTTGCCTTAAGCTTTGCTTCAGCATCTTACTGCTTCTTGCAGTTTGCACACTCCAACAGGGTGCAGAGATCACAAGAGGAATTAGCCAGGAGAAACAAGTGACTACCCAAAGCAGCTAGTGTAGCTCCGGAGTCCAGCTCCAAGGGCATGATGATAACGAAAGGTACTTTGTCTTCATGCTTCACTCAGAACTTCCAAATTTATTGGAGAACTTAAGGCTGAAACTAAGGCAGGTGTGTTTTTTAGTAATGCTTGCCAACCAGTTCTGCCCCAATAGTATGAATCCTGTTGCAATCATTGGGAGTTTGTACAAGCCTAGAGACAAGCAATTCATGGGTGGCCACTTGCATCCACCTTTTTCCCTTGGAATATGTGGCTACAAGTTGTAATTTCCTTTTAATATTATTAATAACTATTTTAAACAAGGCAACTAGACTGTTTTTTTTTCTTTGAGGAAGAAGACTGTTTGAAATGTAGGTCTGTCTATATTAAGGTCTGAGTGTTCACAATATATAACAAACGTTTTGGAAAGAATATATAGATCGAGTGGTTTCAGAGAAATTGATAAAGTGTTGTATTATACCTTAAGACTTAAAGACTGCCAGATTTATTATGTTATATACCTTGGTGAATCACTCAACTACCAGATGCATTGTTTTACATAGGACACTAGGGATTTGTAGCTAACCAGAAGCTCCAGCCAGCATGGAGAGTGATAAGAGTATCTTAGGTCAACAACTTCTGGAGGGTTGTTGTAAAACATCCAAGTGTTATATTACCGTAATAAATATGATTTTATTTTGTTCTAGGAATGCAAAGAACCTGATATATTATTTCCAAAAGCAGAGGTTGAAGGGAATATTAATTTCACAAGCACTCCTAAGCAAAGTGACGCTGCTGTACAGTGTTTTGTCACATATTGCCCACAGGAGAAGTTAAAAGGTAAGCACTATGCCTTGGGCTTGGCTTCTGCCTTTAATGTTTGGGGGGGGGGGGTATCATTGTATTATTTTCAGAAACTCATAACAACCTAGAAAATAATTAGCTAAAGTACAGATTGCAAAATATTTTGAGATTTCAGGAATGGTGAAAGAGCTGACTCTGACTTCATGAATTGGTTTCTCGGCATAAATTCCAGCTTTAAATGGTTTGGTGCTATAAAACAAACTTAGAAATACAAATTATAATTTCAGTATTTATTTTCTATCAGTCTTAAATAACTCCATTGTTCCTATACTTAGATAAGTTCAGATGTGGTATATATTTTTTTTGTTGTTGCATTGGTATATTTGTAATTGCTTATTTTAAATAATATTTTGCATATATTAGCTGTTTTGAACAATAAAAATCACATTAGCTTTTGTTCTTAATCTTTAGAGGTTCTATTTTTTTTTAAAAAAATACTAAAACAGTTTGGACATGTTAATATTCAAATAGTGATATTGTAAGATTAGCATTTTTTCTGAAAATTGTTTCACAGTTGCATGGGATGTTAAAATATATTACGGTAACTTTTAATCAAAGGTAAATGATTAAAAATAACAAGTTCTTGTGTATAAAATTAAGGACCAAAATCTAAAACAGAAAATTCCATCACGTAAACAATGCAAAATTAAAAATGGGAAAGGAATGGAAGATTACATGCTCTAATCTTCCCTTGCTACTCACAGTTGTTTAGCAGTGTGTTTTCAGACTTGGATCTAAAGTTGAATGTGCAATTTTGCCCTGAGAAAGGGATTCCAAAGCAGATGATGAGTGACAGCTATTCAGAGAAAAAAAGCCTTCCCAGGGAATTAGCAGAGCATTCCCTACTCCCACCCATGTTAATATATTTTCTAAAACTCCAGGCAATAAAATTCTAAATTTAGAGTGTCAAACTATCTCTCTTAGTTACATATTTCTTCCTCTCATTATTTAGGACTTCAAGCACATTTTTTTAATTTTAGTACTTCGCTTTAACTTGGGAATGTGCTGCACCCCAGATCCAAAGACAAAATTAAGTTGTTGGCTTTGGATCTGAAGCACTACACATTCCCTACCTTTGACCACATTCTTATATTACAGAGGAAGAAATAATCAGCAAATCTGGGCTACAACAATTGGGTTAGGACAGGGGTGTCAAACTGCTGGCCCGCAGGCTGGATACATCATAGCAAAACCACGCCCACCCCATTGCTGGCAATGGCAAAAAAGTCACGACATGTCACGTGACGTTGCGAGTTTGACACTCCTGGTTAGGAGAAGGACATTCTAGATAGAAATGTTTACAGGAGAGCTCTATTTCTTGATAACATGAGAAAACCCAATTGTTAATATACTTTTAAGAACAGAGGTAGTTGTTGTTTCTGGCATGTTGTGGGCTTGCATCCAATGCTATCTTTGCATTAGGAGAAATTCTCTGCTAACCCATCAGGAGAAAAGAAAGAAGATGCAAAGTTCAGATCTCTTCTGTTTGCCCTACTACATTTTAAGATACTTCAGGACACATACAATTTCATTTGCTACATCCTTTATGCCATCTTCTTCATTCAAAAGAGCCAAATTTAGAGGTGCCTTTCCATGAATGAAGTTCAGGACATCCAATCAAACTATCCTTCCCTCTCTCCCACCACATATGGTTGCTGGCTCCATCCCTAAGTTTCTCCCATTTCAATGCAGGTTGTGTAGACTTGCAATCAATCTCTAAGGGTTTATGATTTACAGTCATTTAACAATTTAAAACAACAACTTTCTTCCCTTTTAAACTAGTGAAATGAGGAAAGCTTGAAATTAGAAACTGAGATTACATTTTCTGTGTGAAAAAAGTGGAAATCCAGTTTGGTTTCTGAGATCCACTCCACTGTGCCTACTTCATTAAGGTATACATATTATTGCACTCAGAAAAACCTGAAGTCAGCCCTCTAGGCTTCAATCTGTCCACACCTGCAGCTGTAATGCAACAGCCAGTCCATTAGGCCACTGCCATTTCAAAGAATGAACTTCATAGGTCTAGTCCAGGGGTATCAAACTGCCGGCCCGTGGGCCGGACGTGTCACGTGGAAGCCACACCCACCCCATTGCCGGCAATGGCAAAACAGTCCCGATACGTTGCGCGATGTCACATGACATCACGAGTTTGACATGTCTGGTCTAGTCCAACCTCCTCCTGAGACAGGCATTCACAACATTAATTCATTTTCTCATTGCATTCACAGCTCTATGGACCAGAGCCACTAATTTTTGACAGATTTTTAATCTGGTGTAGAACAATCTTAAAGGAAAATGGCTTGAGGAGAAAAGACACAGAATGCTGGCAAAACATGTCAGAAATCATTTCCGGAAGGAAATAGATGGGCAGAAAAATATTGCCAAGAAATCTTATCAGCTGACTTGTACTTCAAATGGAATTGATCTCTAAAACACTGAGAGAGAGAGAGAGTAACAATATACTTGAAGGAACAGGTTACTTATCCAGTAGATATTGAAAATGTGAAGGAACACATTGAAGGTCAGCAAAAGGAATATCTGAGATAAGTTAGCTAGTAGGGTTTGTGGAGCAGAAATCTTTAACGTAAATAATGAAAATCAGATTAAAGTGGGCAAAAAATGTGAGATTAAAATTTTGTAACTGAAAGCAAGAATGCACACAACATGTATTGTGTAAAAGTGATGTGTTTGTATGTATAAATGGTGATGTGATGTGAATGGGAATGTGAAGGAGCAGATGCACATGAAGGCAAACACTCGGCTTTAAACCTGTATAGGATGGGGGTAGCTTATACTGTTGTGCTGTGTAGAATAGAAGAGAGTTGTCTGCTGCAGGAGTCAAGAAAAGCTTGACTGAGTAAGGTAAATGAATGAATCAATGGTTGTTAAAAACAAACAAATAAACAAACCTGTGAGGGGTTGTTGAAGTATTAATCCTAACTATAATAGGTGCTGCTTTATCGTTGTATGTTGAAATCTATTGGTATTAATTTGGAATACCAATACACTGAATTTATTTCTGCTAGAAAACTGCAGTGGCAGTATCATAGCCAGTGAGGTTTATCCGAGACATGATTATTGCTAATTGAAGTGGTTCATTGATGTTCTTCTCATTTCTCATATATTTCTATAAATCCTGGCTTTCTGTCAATTTACTTTGGCTTTCTAAAAAAGAAATCTAATATTCTTGTGAAAAGATTAAGAGTCGCTTCTTTAAAGTAATTTTGCTTTGCCTATCATTATTTGAAGAAATACTTAAAAATCCAATATTGAAATGCCAACCTTCAGTCTATTTTTATATGAATCATCTAATACTTGCTATCCTGAGGTCCTCAGTTTGTTCCTCTGCCAAGCCGTGGTGCAGACTCAGCATTTGTTTCGTACAACCTCTTCAAAGAAGTCTTACTTCAGTGCCAGCAATTTCACATTTCTGTTGCTGAAAGATTACTGGCATTTGGTGCATTCAAACTAAAAAGTTCGAAAAGGCTATTCCAGTTCTCCCTTAATTCTTTGTCAGCAATCCAAATTTTGATATATATATATATATCTTCAGGCTGGTGTCTTCAGCTTCCTGCTTCTGGGAGTAGTGTGTGTGATCGCAGCTGTTTCTTCCTTTTAACTGCCAGTGGGGTTTGAGCTGATTGGGTGGGAGCTTGGCTGTGTTCTGATTGGGTGGAGGTGTGTTCTGATTGGTTAAGGAGCTTGGCTGTGCTCTGATTGGATGGGGGTTGGCTGTGCTCTGATTGGATGGGGGAGTGTTCTGTTTGGGTGGGGGCTTTGTTGTGCTCAGGTTAGTCT